GGTATGCTGTAACTTGACGTACTAGTCAGGCATTTGCCTTTGATTGGCTGAGGAAAGCTACGAAACAGTCATTCAGGACACACAGTCTCCGGACCGGGTAGGGGGTGTGTAAGATCTTAATGCTTAAACACAAAATTAAGTTAGACGTGGGAGTGAAGGTGTAGCTCTCGCCTCCCGGCCTAGTTGTGCCCGGGGGAAGAGGCTTGGTGGGCCTCTGAACAGGTCCGGGTGTGGAGTCGAGGGGAAAGAATCTCTGCTCTCGCTGGGAACTAAACCCCTGTTTTCTAGTTCATAGGCAGTTAGAATTGTCCCTGTGCTTAAACTAATTAAGTACTACGTCATGAAGACGTATGGGGGAGTAGATGTATAGATCTACGTTTTCTTGACCTCGGTGCTAGCTGGAGGTGAGTGGTCAGCCCCGGGAAATAACCCCCGATACCCATTTGATAGGAGTTTGGGTGGGCCTCAGTCTGTCTGGACGACGTTGAGAAAATTCTTGAAACTTCCGGGACTTGAACTCCGTCCTCTGGGCCGTCCAACCCGTAGCAAGTAGGTATACCGACTGAGCTATCGCAGCTAGTTCATAGGCAGTGAGGAACCCAAAACATTCATGGAATTATCATAATGCGCAATAAGGTAGATTCGATTGTGGTAACCATTTTGGTTTCCAGAATTGCGAATTTCTGGTGGAAGTTAATGAGTAAATTTCATGTGTCGTCAGGTCTCTAGTAACCTCGCTGTAAATTAATCCCTTACTTAACAATCAATAAACTATTTTTAGGCGTGCCCGTATGAGAAGACTTACAAGGATTATTCCAGGTCATACATGTTGTGTACTGCACGCAACGTGAAGAGTTGGTCTTCCAGCTCACGGAGTGGGTTGGACTGTGCTCAAACAGCGGGGACCAGGACGTAACCTTGTGTACTTCGGAGCAAGTCTACCGGCGTGTCGAAGGAACCTCCAACTAATGGCTCAGCAGAGCTCTGCGTGATGCCTGCTTCATGCTGGTTTCTTGCACGGATTTGTCTTAAGGCCTGAAGATGGAGGCGATATGTGCCTTCGAAACGTACGTAGATTGACTTTCATCGGGCTACACGGCGTTATATCCCATAAGACAGAACACTTCAACATGTGCTATAGTCATGGAGTAAAGGTAAAAATAAAGTTGACTGTGGGCTTAAGCACCACGCCATGAAGACGTATGGAGGAATGGAGGTATAGCTGCACCATTCTTGACCTCGACAGGGAGGTGAGTGGTCAGCTTCACGTATCTGCCGCTTTACCTCCACGGAAGGACCCCTGCAGTAACCACTTGGTACGAGGCAGAGTTGGCCCCAGAGTCTGTCTGGACACTGTGTAATAGAGAAATATATCGTATCCATGCAGGAAATCGAACCCCGTCCGTCCAGCCCGCAGCCAGTCGCTGTACCGACTGAGCTACTGTTTGAAACTGTGTGAACCACTGGGGCCGTTTCAGTAAATTAATATTGTCGTTATCTTAGGTTAATACAGTGTATAGTTCTGAAGGTGTTTACCAACCTTTCGCAGGAATTTTATACCACCGTCGTCAGTGTAGATATCGATTACGAAAATACACGGTGTCAATATAGCAGACAGTAATCATGATTTTAACGCCTTGGAAACCTCATAGCACGTCATTTCAGCAACGTTAATTTATTCTTGTACATCGTCACAGTGGACAAGGTTACTTGTGTTCTTCGGCATGAGCGCTTTGCTAATAATGTGTATTGGCTGTATTGACGTTGCGAGTTGATCGATGGAGGTACTAAAACTACCTACCGACTGTCTCCTTGTATAATCTGCGTGTACAGCAGCCAGTCCGCCTGACCGTCCATCCGTCTGTGTGTCTGCCTGTCTTGTCAGTGAGGTGACCCCTAACCCAGAACACGCACGCAGTTACCGCGGCCATGGGGAAAAGCAACCCGCGAGCAAACGGGAAACGGCTCGCCCGCCGCGTTGCGAGCGGTTGCGAGGGCAGCCGGCGGACTTTCAGAACAAAGGAAGCCACATTGCGTGCAGACGCTTCCTGCCTGTTTCTGTAGAGAGCGCAGTTTTTTCTCAGCCACTCTATATTGATTAAGTAGGAATTCGCGGGTCGTTTGTATCCACTAGTGCCTTCGTATTCAGCGTTATAGTATGAACATGTCTTATCCAGATCTTAGGCGGCCCGGGTGCAATCCCAGGTCTGGTCATGTGGGATTTGTGGTGGACGAACCTTCACTGTGGCACCTTTTCTCAGAGTACTTAAGCCGGGATAGCGACTGGCTGGACGGTCGAGGCGTTGGAGTTCGAGTGCCGGTAGGGGAAACAAGTTTCCTCATGTCCACTGGGTTCGGGGAGGGGGCTCCTCGGGGTAAAGCGGTCGGGGCATGAAGCTGAGCACTCACCAACTACTGTTGAGGTCAAGGATACGTGGATCTCTACAGCCATTCCCCCGTACGCCTTCATGGCATAGTGCGTAATTAATTAAGCACAGGGACAAGTTTGCCTTTTTTATAAGTTTCTTGGGTAGGGTGAGGCGAGTCAACGTGTCACGTCGGCCGTTATATTTTGTTTCTCATTCCACCGATTTGTCTTCTGGGGTTCAAACAGTTACCCCATTAATGGCCAGCGAACCAAGAGGACTCTGTCTCACCGCGACCCAGAAATAAAGACATATTCAGATCATGATAGGCGTCACCGAATACACCTTCCAAGTACGTAACGGTGCTGCAGCGTATTTGGGAGGACCGGCGTTTGAACCATGGACTGGAGACTGGCTAACCTAAGAATTTTCGTTGCTTTTACAGTCTCTCCATGCAGATTTTGGGGCAATAATTCAAATTAAGCCACGACCACTTCCTCCCACGTCCTTTCCAGTTCATAATGCTTTAATCGTACACAGCTCTACATATAATCTGAGTTAACCGACAGCTCTGTTAAATATACCGGAACAGGTTTTTAAGGGACATGTGTTCTAGACACTTCTAGAGTTAGTGTGTGTGTGTGTGTGTGTGTGTGTGTGTGGGGGGGGAGGTACAAACACACTCCGTGGCCTTTAGTCCATATGGTATCTTGAAGTACAATGTAGCCACTTTTTCATATAAATCTTCTGCTTCCTTATTCAAAATCGTCTGTTATTCAGTGCCGTTTAACCTCACAAGCTGATACAGCATTGTAACCAAGTAACTAAGTAGCTGCGATAATTATATTGATAAAGGAACCACACTGCTGTCACTGTGGATTTTGCTAGATACAGTTATGCAACGTTATTGTAGTGGTATCACTGGTGTTATGCAGTGTGCGTTTTGAGAGGCAGAAACAGAATTTTCCAATATTATTTACAAGAACTTTTCTGTTCCTACTAACATGTAGTGCATCTAAGGTTTACCACAACTTTATCTTCTCGCTGTTTGCCTCTTTGGATGTTTCAAAGGACTGATCATCTGAAAACTAAAACGTAGAACTTGTCTGTGTCCTTAATTAAGCACCACGCCTTAAAGACATGTGGGGAAATGGATGAAGAAGCCTATGCATTCTTAGCCTTAGCACTAGATGGGGGTGAGTGGGCAGCTTCTTGTCCTGGCTGCTTTAACCCCTGATTAAGAACCTCTGTTACCCATTAGAAAGGGGGCAATATTGGCCCCAGATCTAGTTTGGACGCTTTCAATAAGAGGAAATATCTTCTCCCTAACAGGAATTGAACCTTGATTCTTCAGTCATGATTTCAGAGCCTAGCCACTATATCGGCTGAGCTATCATGGTGTCTGAAGTTCATCCATGTAAAATTTTTAGAAGTCACAGCCTACCTCTGCTATACTGCATATCCATTAAAGAGATCAATGGGATATTTTTTTTTCCTGTGATGCTACAGCCCCAATTTGGGCCTAGGCCTACCTCCATGAAACTGGGGATAATATTTTATGACTGTTTATTCTGAGAATTGTATGAATTCCATAAATTCACACTTTTGAATAATTGCTAGGAATTTTTTCCTTAATATTAAAGCATCTGGCACAGAGTAGTTACCACTATTCATTAAATTATTAAAGCATGTAAACCTTCAGTCCTGAAGTTAAGATTGTCAATGGATTTACCTTGGTACCCCTAATATGCCTTCATGGCCTGGTGGTTAGAAAAACGCCACATTCTACTACAGAGTGTACTTGTGTGTTTTATATGCTTCTCACAATAAACAGTGACTGTTTCCATAAACAGTACTAACCATTTGGTCTTTATAGTAGAGAGTCATATTTTCTGTGCGGTATGGACTGAATTCTTATAATTATTTAGAATAATTTCAATTGCTAAAATTATGCGTGGGTACAACCATATCTTAAATAATTCTTGAGAACTTGGTGCAGTCCTCTGGGAGGCTGAGATCTACAGTCAGGAAACCATGAAATGAGCCAATCAAATGTACAAACAAAAACTAAATGAGTGCAAATGTGCTAGTGGCATTTCGTTCGCATCAGATGTAACGAGTATGCAACCTGATATTGTAATCATTACGTCTGATGTGAACAAAATGCCACTAATACCCTGATATTAGGAGCTGGGATGTTGAAGTTAAACAGGAACTGGCTACAGTGGGTGGTGGGACTACTTACAGGACACTGTCACCTTAAAGGACACCTCTTCAAACTGGGACTAAGTGATAGTCCCACTTGCGAGAGGTGTCAAGAAGAAAATGAAACAGCCACACATATCCTGTGTGAATGTGAGGCTTTAGCTTATTTAAGATTACGTCACTCGGGTCAATATTTTATGGAAGCAAGTGACTATTCTGCTCCGCCACGTACAAAATCCTGTGCTTCATTCGAAGTGCAGGATTGCTGAGGGGATAATCAGAAGATGAGGCACAATAGACCACTGTAGGTCGCTGTGCAAGGGCCGAGAAGGCCCACCCCTTATACATTCATTCATTCATTCATTAGGAGCTGGGATAGCTCAGTTGGTATCGTGACTGTTGATGTGTGTGTCTGTTGTGTTCCTGCAGCCAGGCCGATTGTTCTCTCCAACTGCAGTGATGGAAAGGCAGAAGGGAAATATTTTTGAGTACAGCACACTCCTCTGCTCCTTCCTCATCGGGTCTGGTTATGACGCATATGTCGTGTCAGGTTGTGCCACCAGAGAATTCTGTGTTTTTGACCAGACCAGAGTTGTATGCCCATGTCTTCCGGAGTTCACAAAGGTACATACAGTACTAGACCTATCTTTATTTATCAGTCCTTTAATCTGCAACTACTGATTAGGTTAGGATGTGCAGCTCTGCAATATTAAGTATTGAATTTCTGATTGCGAGATTCAGACTTGCACGTTTATTGTGTTTATTCCACCTGTGGGCGATGTTTTCATTAAAGACACTTCAACCAAATGTCTTCGCTTATGTTCAGGCAGAGAAGAGGAATGTAGATAAGGACGTGCCTAAATATGCAATAAAACCTCCTGCTAATCTCTACAGCGAGTTCCTACTTGAAATGGAGGCGAAGAAAGTACGCAAGAAAGAAGAGGAAGAGAAGAAACGTGAGGAAGCAATGAGACTGGTAATTGAAGTAAGTGTTTGTCAAAAAGTTTATTTCACTTAACTGAACTAAGTTAAGTAAATGTTCTTACCCTAAGTACAGTCAAGTGCTGGACTGTAGGTGAAGTTCCTGATCGAGACAAGCCAACTGACTTGCCTCAAGCACACATAGAGGTTATGTGAAATGACTGGAAAGGGGAATCCCAAATGTGCTTAGAAAGGGGAATTCCACTTATGGCACTTATTCCTCATTGGCTGCTCTGGGATTGACCTCCAGTTTCTATTATGATTTTCACTAGACCAAAAGACAGTGTGACGATGCCTGTAAAGTGATTTACTTTCGGTAAAAGAGGAGTGGACCATATATAGGTATATTGCAAAGATTCAGGTTTGTAGCAGAGGTGTTTAAAGTGACTCTGTAATTGGCAGTGCAGTGTACAAATAAAAATTATCATCATCTGTTATTGTTTCAGGCAGGATATGATAAAGCCCTTCCTCTTCATCTGTATCTCCTTCTGCATCTGAGTCCAAGGCTACATAGAGATTTCATGAGGCACTAAGCTCTGATAAAAATGAGACCCATATAAATTTCTTTAAAAAACTTTTGCAGAAAGGATAATTAATACACATGGGATGTAACATTGTTTAATGTGGTAGAGGTTTATCAGCTATTTGGGGGAGTGTCAATAAAATTGGGCCAGGCTAAATGGTGTCACATCTTAGTATAAGGACATCAAATGATGCAAGATTATTCAACAAACAATGCAACAAAACATTGAATAAAGAAATATTGCATTTTGATAAGGATAAAAATTGCAACTAAATTACCAAGAAATGTTAATTTAACATCACAGTAAGTATAAGTATGGATGAATATTGTGTGAGTGTGTCAGTGGTGTGGGGGGGACTGCATACATATGTAAAAGCCATCATTTTCTTGGTAACAGTCACACAACTGCTTCAGAACTGAAAGCATGGAGTGACACTGTGTCTCAGCTTTTCCTGTGTGTGTTGTGTCCATCATTCCAATCTGACAAAATGGAGTCAGTCATTTGTTATCTTCTGAGTTTTACAAAAGAATGTTGCATTTTTCCTTTGGGTAATTTAGAGGCTATGCAGAAGACAGAAATCTTCAAGGGCTATTGATAAGATGTTGGAGCTTTCAGATTGCAAATGAAACATGCAGCCATGAGCCATGAAATAATTATTAGCACTGTAACTAAGTGTATTATGTTGGCAGGAATTTGAAAAGCCTCCCCCAGATGAAATCTCTGGCACCCGAGTACACAGCTGGGTAGTTGTGTTACCCACTTGCATAAATGTTCAGGAGCCATTCTTCATCGATCCCTTGACTGGCAATAAGTGTGATTTAAGTAATCCCAACTTTCTGCGTCTGGAGAGTATATGGAACCACACTAACTACTGGGTGAACCTCCAGAGTTGCAGTGAACGATGCAAGGTATAACATGGCCTTCTGGTCCTCTTTTAATTTCTTTTTAATTGGATATTTCAGTTCTTTCCAAGCATGGCAAGTTATTTCAGTAAATAATTTACACACTCAGATTTGATGTTATCACGATGTTGATGATCCATGTTATGGTCTTCTGGGGTATGACAACATGCCATCTAGTAGGTGGGTATCAACATTTGGAGGGACATAACACTTACATCTTCTCTCCTGATGATGGAGGCAGAATGTTCATCTGAAACGCATATAACACTTATAAAACTACATGGTGTCATTACACATATTTATGAACTATTTGTGTCAGTACAAATGGAATCCAGTGAAAATAATTAAATTTTATATAGAATGACTCCTTATCCTTTGGTTTCAAAGTGCTTGTAGTTCTGATACAGCTCAAGAGATGTCAGTAGCATTCAGAAAACAACCTTGTATGTTTGGCTTGAAGTCATATGAAAGGAGTTTATAATAGCAGTAATGGAAGCTATGAGTACATTTTTTTGTAGTTCATCACGGAACCTTACAGTTAGCACATTTATAGATAAACTGCATTGTAAATCTTATGCAGTCTGTTATAGCAATATTGAAGCATCTTTTTTGGTCACATTCCTTCAGTCATTTCTTATGACATGCATTTCCAGACTGTTGACTCTCCTCTTGTATGGTCATATATGGGATGGATGCCATGCTATATCTATCTACTGTTATGGTGGTGCATGAGGTTATGGTAATACAGTGCAGTGACAGAGGAAAGCATGCATTTGTTGCAGATAGTAATTAGTATTTCTGCCAGTAGATGGATCTGCCATCAGCTGTTATAATTTTCATGAAAAATGCATATTTAGAGCAGGTTCTTGAAATATGTACTTTGGATACTTTCACTATTGCATGTTACAATTGGAGTGTGAGTATATGAAATGGATCCCCTAATTGATAATAATGATACTGATTTTTGGACTCAAATATTGGCATGTCTACCGTATCTTCTTGAAACAAAATAGCTGAAAGAAAACTTCAAAGATGTTTCACACTGTGATTTTGGTACAGTTGCCACATTCACTGCCATGCCCATACACTGCCGGGCCAGCCATTTTTCCATGAACACTGGATTTTTCTACTTATACATTCAAAATTGAAGCACGATTGACAGTCACTATACATTTAGACCCTTTGAAGCTTTAAGAAACTACACTTAAGCTTCTCTGCATTTGAGTGACATTTGCAAGAGGAAATTCACTTGAGAGAACTGGCGCTCTACGCAGTAAACTTGACCTATCAGATGACAGAATTGGCAGTGAATGTGAATTGCCTCAGACTCATTTTGACAAGAAATTGCTTAGATGCAGTATGTTACTAATTTCCTAATTATATTCTTTATTTCAAGTTCTGTAACCAGTGTTTAATAAATCCACAATATTCATGAATAATTATTTATGTATCTTTGTTATTTTTGGATCATATTGTACATTTCCTTCTTTTTTGTTTTGTCTTTCATCTTTCATATCTTATGCATATACCCATAATACTGAAGAATATTTTATCGCATATTCTTAAATTTTGCCTTTTAATTTCTCTTGATGAATTCATGAATTTTTGCAATCCATAAACTGAATGAAGAGCTACACTCTCATAGCACATCACAACAATGAAGATGAAAAGATACAGTGGTGGTGGTATTATTATTATTATTATTAGCAGTAGTAGTAGTAGTAGTAGCAGCAGCAGCAGCAACAGCAGTAAACCTAAAAAGTCAGTTGTACAGTCAAATTTGTTTCTTTTAGAACCTGAAGTTCCAGCTAACTGATTTGAAATGCTGGGAGCATCTCTTACCAGGTGAACCTTGGCATTTTTGGAAATCAGGTCATGATGAAGGGAATGTTACTGCTGACACTATTTTGGAAGAAAAACATCTTGATATGCCTGCCTCATGGGTGGATAGGCTGGAAATTTCCAATGCTGGTAAGAAATGATGCACAGTCATGATATGCAAACAACAGTAAAAATTATATCGTCAGTACTTGTACCAAATTTTGTGCCAATCAGTTCATTGATTCAAAAGTTGAAGGGAAGACAGACACACAGGTTGAAAATGAAATATGTTATCAGTCACTGCAAATCACTTTAGTTCATGGAGCTAATGCCTATACTTAGTTTCCCCCTTTGATTGTTGCCTGTCCCATTTCACCATCAAAGCTACTCATATCAAGACCAATGTCTCATGAAATGCTTTATACATATTTGCAGTCTATACCATCAATTCCTCAAAACTTAGTGCAAAAATATACGTTTTTTGCAGTGTATGAGAAGAGATTTCCTAATGGGCACAAGACAGTTCTGTATAAGAAATGCAAACTGGAGAAGTTTGCACCCTATGTACAGGAGGATGGCTTGGTGACTCGAATTACTACTTACACAGATTATGACTGGACTGTGCCAGAATTGGTGTATGAATATTATAGCAATCGTGTGGACTGCCTTCTACAAGTCAGGAGTAATATGCTCAATAGATCAATTGTTGAGGTCTTCAGACGAGGGAGAGCCGATTGCCTCAGAGGTACAGTTATGGTGTTCATTGTGTCAATTTATTGTTTCTGAAAAAAAAAAAGAGAACTGTTGTAGTGAAATATATAATCAATCAAATAATTATCGTTAAGTGTTGGGTGGCAAGTTACATCTCTGTTTTATGTTTGAGTTACCTGTGTGTTCTAATTTTCAGTTCTGTTTCAAAACAAAGCCATGAACAGTTTCACAGAACCTGTCTTCACTTTTTGAAACAACCGTGTTTGCTGTCTGCTTAAGCAAACAGACTGACAGACAGACAAAGCTGGTGTCTCTCTCTTTCTACCTTTCTTCTTTTAAATACAATAAGTATGTAAGTAGTGAGTTAATAAATAAATAATTGAATGCTTATTCTGTATTATGTAAAATGTAGATGTTATTGTAAATAAGTATGGTAACCGACTCAAGTACAGAATGCTGGAAATTCAACTGTAACCAAGATGTCACAACATTCAAACTGGAAAATCATCCTTACTGAATCATTGCTTTACTTCAGCATAAAATTAATTTTTAAGTTACCTCACCAATGGACCAGCAGTTGACCCACTGAATGTTAGTTTCACAAGACTTATATGCTATCTCATTGCTTTTGAGTTAACTGCCATAAAAGTATTAGATGATGAGTCCATTCTCCTGTTGTTACTCCATCAGACCCAAGTTTATATAGCTCATTTTATTCACAGAACATTCCTTCTTTCTGGGAAGAACTGGAGTTGAAGATAAGCGAACCATGGTGTTCTACCACATGGCTCGTCACGACGGTTTGGAAAAATTGGAGATGGATCCGCTCTATCTTATACAGCATTTTCATGATCGTCTTGACCTGTTATATTATCGTAAGGTGGACTATCAACCAGGAGGTCAGGGCCAAGTGGGAGGCTCAAAGAGAAATGTGCTGGTAAGACCTCAAAGAGGCAAATGTGTGTGTTGACCTTACTGTACCACCGGTGGCGTTGGAAAGAGGAGGTGGGGAGGAGTTGAGGGATTATGATCTGTTCCAGTATTTTGTTTACCTGTACATACCAGAATGTTGCACCCTCCCATCTTTTCTTCATCTTATAATATCAGCTCTATTTTATACAGGTATGAGTACATGAATAAACAAAAAACCGTCTCTGTGGTCTATCAGATCCAGAGTTCCCGGTTCGATTCCCGGCGCTACCAGATTTTCTGAGAAGTAGTGGGTCTGGAATGGGGTCCGCTTAGCCTCATGAGGGTAATTGAGGAGCTATTTCAAGGAAATAGCAGCTCTGGTCTAGGAAACCGAGATTAACGGCTGTGGGGATTCGTTGCGCTGACCATGCGACACCCTCAATCCACAAAAGTTGGCACTAACATTACTGACAAGCAGCGGTCGCTCGGTCGGTATAGTTCACCTGCGGACACAAGTCACGGAGTTTGTTTTTATGAGTACATGAATGGAATGTCTCCAGTCTCCTCTTTCTTACCACAATCTTTCCTTTTCAGTTTTAATTCTAACTCCATTTTTTGTATCCTTTTCATATCCACTGTTTTAACATAGTCTGGTCATTGTTATCATTTCTCATCTAACTCTCTTAAGAAATTTTAAATTCTGATTTCTGTAAACATTTCTGTTTATATATTTCCTTGTTATAACCTCAGTACTTCTTGGAAGTTTCATATCCATTGCATGGATATTCATTTTAATTCCCTTTTTATGGGTCTGTGTTTTGGNTTTTTTTTTAATAAAGGGTTAGAGCATGAATCCGGTTTTTTTATTGCCACACCTTGTATATTATCCCTTCAAAACACTGAGGACAGAGGTATCATATTTCTGTGAAGGTTCGTAATCACATACCATTATTATTAGAGGGGGTGGGTTTCCCCTTGCACCGCGACTAATAGTCTGTTGTACGTCCCCTTTTGATATTCTACCAGTCGCCATACCCTACCGGTACTGGTGTGTGCTATCAGCCCCGGTCAGCCCTTAAAAATTCCATGGTCTCCGCCGGGTTTGAACCCGCGTACCTTGAGTCATGAGGTGGGAACGTTACCCCTAGACTACGGAGGCCGCTAATCACATACCATACATTACATATAATGCTACTTACATATGGCATAGTTATACAGATATGATACACTGCTTTTTGCAGAAACTTGTTGAAGAGTTCTGTCGAAATCCCAAGAAGGATGCTAACAGTGATATTGCACGCCGGACTTTTGCTGTGGCAGATAACCAGATCTTACTGAAGTTCCATTGTGCACCTGGCAAAATTACTGCAGCTACTCGTGAGTTCATCAAGCCACCTCTGACAGAAATGGCTGAAAAGCTTACTTTTAATCCTGACCTCACAGCAGGATATCAGGTGAGCTCAGTATTGTTACTCTGAATCACTGCATTATCTACAGGTATTATATGGCATTGGAAAGGTTTTGTAGGATGATACTTACTCATGAATTAGATGAAATTTCTACCTTGTGACTTACAGGTTAGCAAGCAAGGCAGTGTTAATATGTATATGTTAAAAGACAGTCTCATTGTTGAGAATGGGATAAAATTCTGCTGCAGTAAGGAATTGATTTGGAAGATCTTTGTACTTGATCTTCACCATATGTGACTTTTCTCTTGACAAGGACTTATACAGACACACCATGTTCCCACATTATGGAGGGATGTTTTCTTGAAAATGAATCCATATTGTAAAATTCTGTGATGCAGGTCCTATTTTCTCTTGACTCATGTGTTATACATGGAAGTGGTCCAAGTCCAAGTCCAAGTCACATTGCGACTGACGGTCAGTCAATCAGTAAGTCTTGGTGTCGAGCCCTGGCTGGGGCTCATGACCAGATACTTATTAGTGTTTGGCATTTACGGTCTTGTTCCTGTGGGGCGCCCTCTCTGACGAGGGGACAGGTCTGCCTTTTGTATATGCTGCTGGCCCTTGCCAGTGCAGTCTTTCTCGGGTCTGGGTCTTCCTACATCACTGCGTTTGCATTTAAAAATGTAATATTTATCCAAAATTTCTATGACATGGAATTTATGGTTTGGTATCTTGAATTTTATGATCATGATTTATAATTTATATAAAGACAAAATTCGGTAACTGAAAAGTATATAACGTGGGATGGACTATATATATGACGAAATGTACTGCATGTTTCAGACAAATCCCACAGACCATCCTCCAAAGAATCTCTATTTATTCTGTATGCTGAGAGAGCAGCTGAAGGCTGAAGAAGATTCTCTTCTTTCTGCAAGACAAATGGAAGAAGAAGTATGTCAAACTGTATACTTGCTGGAAATATTCTGAAATTTAATTCCTCATAAACACAAGAGCCCATTTTTCTTTCTCTGGTGGTATGAATATGTTGTGAAAACTGTTAGAACTTGTAACTATGAACAGATATTGTACTTTTTCCTGTTTCGCGGCTTTTTCAATATACAGAAATGTATCTGTCAGACCCGTATTTTGAAACATGTATATGATCCTTGAAAGAAACGTGGTTGTGATATTTTGTATCAGGTAGCAACTCTACTTGCTGTTGATTAGTATAAGGTAGCAAAGAAATTGGTGGTTAAGATTATGGTCTTCTGGGACATAGCACCTTGTAGTTCGGTAAGCAGGTATCAAAATTCTGAAGACAGCATTCTCTTCCAAAAGATTGGTGGGCTATATTCCTACCAATAATACTATATTTCAGCATCCTGTTGCTGTTCTTTGGTCTATAATGCAACAATATCAATATAGATTTAGATGACACTTATCCACACTTAATTCCCTAAAATGTTCATTAAATGTTTAAAAAGGTCATTAAGATATATATACATTCTGTGTTTATGTGCTACATGTTTCAGCCACACTCAGCCAGCTTAAGGCAAAAAATTAAGGAATCCACTGCATTGTGCACTTTGTCAATAGTACTCTTAAAGTATGTCATTATTATTAATCTTGGTGTTATAGGATGTCTGTCCTTCTGTCTTTCGTATTGCGGCTGCTCCGTGCCCCATTGGGTGTGCTGCACCCTTGGTTGTGTGTATCATGTGTTGGTTTGTGTTCCGTGTACAAAATAGAAGGGCAGACATCTTATAACACCTATAACACATACTTCAAGAGTCCTATTGACAAAGTGCACAATGCAGTGGATTCCTTAAAAATGGCCCTGTGTGGTTCAAATGTGTAGCGCATAAACAGAGAATGTATATATATTTTAATGACAATTCAAACATTTTAATGAACATTTTAGTGAATTAAGTGTGGATAAGTGTCATCTAAATCCATATTGATATTGTTGCATTATATACAGAAGACTACAAGCAATACATTCTTACAAAATCACACAGGGTCAGATTTCAGAATATTGTAATGTTAATATTCATTGCCAAGGGAACCTCAAATTTCATAAAGAAATAAGGCATAGACACAAATATAGATACAAATAACCAACTTGCATGAGCTTGTCACTTGGCCAGAATCTTCAAGAAAATATAAAACAACAATAGTACATGCAATTATCTTTTGATAATATTTCAGAACCTAGGTATCACTCAGTAAGTGGACAAATTGAAACTTACTGCATGCTAGTGCAGCAATGTGGCTTTGTTTCTTTTATTAAAACTGATAACTGATTTGCTATGGAACTCGTTTTATAAGTCTAATTACTTTAAGAGGTGTGGGTGGTGTTTTATTTTGTTCAAGCATTATAAGCACACAATGGGGGGAGACGAGGAATGCGTATAGGATGGTGGGAAAGCCAGAAGGAAAGAAACCACAGGGAAGACCAAGGCGTATGTGGGTGGACAGTATTAGAATGGATCTTAGAGAGATAGGATGGGATGGTATGGATTGAATAGATATGGCTCAGGATAGGGACCAGTGCAGGGCTCTTGTGAACACGGTAATGAACCTTTGGGTTCCATAAAATGCTGGGAAATTGAGTAGCTGCAGAATCGGTGGCTCCTCCAGAAGGACTCAGCTCTGTGAGTAAGTAAGTAATTATAAGCACACAGGAATGGCCTGAAACATTCATTGTATCAGCTGGACTTATTCCTGTACTTCCAGGTTAGTACCATACTTAAACAGCGTTCCATTGAACTGTGTGAACCACAGTTGGAGGTCTCCATCTTCAACATGGAGAGGAATCAGTTGGCAAAAGAGGGCATGGAAGCAAGAGTAAGCTCCATTACTGTCTTGTTAATAGAATTTATATATCCACACATCTACTATCCAATTGGTACTGGGGCAGGGGGGTTGTTCCTCCAGTGACCCACCTCCATCTAGTGCTGGGATGAGAATAGTTGAGCTCCATCTTTGCTCCATCATACATTTTCATGGTGTCGTGCTTAATTACTTAAGCACAGAGACAACTGCATCTTTTATACCTTTGCTAATAAGAACAAGGGTCCATATAACCAATCTTTGAGATCTCATAAAAGTTTTCTAAGGTAAACTGCTTATTGTAAAAATTGAATCTAACATGAAATATTTTCAAGGTTATGGTCTTTGGGATGTGTTGCTATGTAGTCTGACGGATGGGGTATCAGAAATTTCAGTGGAACCTTCTGTGTCTGAAACAATGGTGCTCATGTACCAAAATATAAAGTGTCACATTCCCGAATATTGTAATCATGATACTGTCATGTGTATTAGTGTCTATAGATGGGGTTTTGATTGGTGAATGGATTTACTGGACTCCGTAACTACAATTACAACCATTTCACTGATACACTTTACAAATTAGAGCACACGCTAAGTCTTCTCAGTCTACTTTCACTGGTCGTTTATTTTATTTCTTAATTTCAAATTTTTGTGTGCCATGTGCTAGGAAATAATGCAATTAAACTGTAATGAAATTTTTAATATTAGTTTGATTTGAGAGGTTAAGTTTTAGTATAAACTGCTAAGTTTCATGCAGTACGCCTGTCAGGCAGTTATCCTGCAGCTGGTGTGTGTTATTAACAAGTTTCCGTCTGATATATTTGTACACAGGACAAGCAAATACGTGCTCAAGCTGCAAGAGAACTCGAAACAGATGTTGATTTTTTAGCTCCTTATTTTGCCCGTATTGGTAATCCAGAAAAAATATCTGAACAACAAGCTTTGCAGATCAGGGAGGACTGCATTGCTGACTTCAAACAGCTGTTTGTGGACAGGATCAATAAAATTCAGGACTATTTTGAGGAGGTAATCATCAGGTTGCCACTGTTATTAGCCCATTATAATTTTGTTACATAATGAGCTTCATTTATATTGTTGATGCCATGGGCAGGACATATACCCTGTGTGGGGGAAGTGAGCAATACATGCAATATTTTGGCTGGAGAACCTTAAGGGAATAGAACACTTGGGAAGACCTAAACATAGTGGGCATGAAGATATGAATTGGATTCAGCTGACTACAGAGCCTGATGGCAGGCTTTTGTGAAGGAGGTGACGACCTCTGGGTTATATAAGAACAGGAAACACAAACTTTTCAACACAGCATTCTGAACTATACAATGAGTTGGTTTTATACAGAAGTAACAATAAATCTGTATAGGACTATTTAAAATTCGCCATTTTTGAAATGAAAAATGTGTTCTCTCTTTTTTTTTTGTACTGTTTGGTGCCTGTACATCAATAATTGTTTTGCCTGTGGTGACACATTTAATGAGCAAGTTAATTCTAACTGGGAATGTATTGATTCCGGCCTCTTTTAAAATTACTTCCCAGTGTATTTGTGTAAACTAATTAAAGTCATTTAACATCACCTGTTACTATACTGTTGAAATCCATATTCATTAATATACCTTCTATATTTTGAATCATAAATTTATTTAACATGATGTAGGGGAGAAAATGCAAGATAATTCTTTGACGAGGGAAAAAAATGAATATATGCTGCTGCAAGAAGTTAACTTGCTGCACTCATCCAAGATTACTGATTAGTTACTCATGGCAGTGTACATTCACTTCCCTAATATATAGCCAAAATAGACTTCACTGAGGCACACCACTACAGTACACAGCATCTATCGAGTTAGAATCACCAAGCCTCACAGTGATGTATCAAAGTTTGAAACTTACAGGAGAATACATACTGAAAAATTTCTCATTTTTGTCAGGTTGGTGGAGAGATTCAAGCAAAGAATAAGTGGTATGAAGAAGAACGAGACAATCTTACAAAAGCAGAAGAAGATGCATATCTGAAAGCCAATGCAGAAAAATCTTTCCTGCTGCATGTTCTGGAAGTTCGGTTAGCTCGTTTACGTCATCTTGCAACTGCTCGGTATCAGACAATTGAAGCACTTTTCCGTGCAGACAAGCGCCTGAGTGTCCTCTATGGCTAGCATCCATTTACACAACAAATTATATGTTACCCCATAGGCTTACATAATTAATTTTAAATTGAATTTACTTCATACTGTGAGCAGATTGCTTAGTTCACATATGAAGTGAGTACTTGTCTATTTTATTTGCTTTAATGAACATGCCTTTAGCCTTCATGATTGCAGCCCTTCCTCTGGTTTCCAGCTGTGTGTGGCAGAGTTAATGTGTGAATTGTATTCATAGTGTTGGAAGTACAGTTACTTTCCAGCTTTTGATTGTGTGATATCTGCTAAGGCTGTAGTGGGCAGTGGGCATGCCCCTCAGGATAATACAGACTGGCCTAATGCAACATCTGAAGGAGAAGCAACAGGGAAAAATTCAGGTAGAGACAATTTATTAAATTTGATTTGTTTCAGATGACTGAGAATGTTTGTTTTTTCCTTATTTTTTTCAGACTTACTAAAGAAATTTGCTACTGTAACCTATGTCCAAAATACAGTAACCTCACTGGGAATTGAACCCATGACCTTATGGCTTGTATCATAGTGCCTTAACAATCTATGCTACTCCGTCAGCGGGGATTGTGTAGTTGGCATAGCGACTGGCTGTGGGCTTGATGACCGAGGGTTCGGAATTCAAGTCCTGGTAGGGTCAAGAATTTTCTCCACATTGTCCATATCTGCTCTGGAATCCACCCAACCTCCTATCCAATGGATACTGGTGGGGTGGGGGTAAAGTGGCCAGGGCATAAAGCTGACCACTTACCTCCAGCTAATGCCAAGGTCAAGAAAATGTAGATCTGTACATTCACTCCCCCATACACCTTCGTGGCATAGTACATAATTAGTTAAGCACAGGGATAACTCACCTTTTTACCTGTTCATACAGGGTTTGATGTAATTACCGCAGTGACTATGAAGAGAATGGTCTTCTGGCTTGTAACACCATGTAGATCAGAGACAGGCTAATTTGGGAGAAGCATATCTCCTCTGTCTTTAGGGGTGAAGAACATGCCAATCAAGAAAGCAGGTGGAGCAGGTAGCAAGCCTGATTTTCGGTTCACTCTGCTTGCTGCTTGCTTCTGCTGGTGTCTTATTGGCATTCTTTTTGACTCTAAAGATGGAGGTGGGTCTTTGTAAGAGTTTATGAACGGTAAATATTCATGATTTGGACGCCTTTGATGTAGTTCATTCTTCAAATTTTGAACTTCTGGATTGTGAATCTGTGTAATGTACTTTGATACTGATGTTTTAGACTTTATATATGCAGACTGCATACAGCCCATATAACTTAACCAATTCTGCACAATTTAACACTGATGATGGAGGCATTTGTCTAGTTCTGAAAAACATACATATCCGTGTACAAGGTTATATGGTGTTACTGCGCCGAAGACCACAATTTGAGCAATTACACTTTTCACAGTTGCGAAGCATGTCTTTATTAAATGTAACATAACCTCTTTACTTATGTCAGTATCACGAATAATTTATTTTTAGCTGTTAACGACGATTAAGTTATATAAAACTACTGGAGGAAAATAAAAGCATACGTAATTCGATAAAACCATGCAATTGAGCCTCTATCGGGATAATGTGGGGAAAAAACTCTCAATCATGTCTGCCACTTCATTTGCGTGACCACTAGGCTACTAGCATTGTCCATTCGAATCAGTATTACACAGAACAAATTCCAGCCCATTCGTGGATGAAAGTTAATACGAAACCTTGTACAGCCATGGAAGATTTCGGTATCGCACCGTTAATGAAAGAAATTATGTATTTCGGGGTAAGCTAACACGCCCTACTTTGAACATACTATTTTGTTGGACTGTAAAACGTAGACGTTTTATTTTATTTTCTTTTACCATCATCTCCGTGGGGAACTGCATACTATAATCTCTGTAAGTTTAATATATTTCAACTTTGTAATGATTCGAATTGTTTCGATGATTTCGGTTTGGCGGGAAACACGAAGGTACTATCGATAATTAATACAAATGGTTGACTGTACTAATTGTGGTGATGCTGGTCGTGCTGGTCGTAGTAGATGTCTAGCTTGTTAGACGTTATGGTAAATTAGGAAGATCACGAAGCTCAACGAGACGGTTTGTGACTTGCGAATTTCGACGTTTGAATTAGACATCGTATTCAGCAAACTTGAAACAATGTATTTATACTAGAAAAATGTCAGACATTAAGTCCGTGATAGGGCTGCTATGTAAGCATCTTAAGCTTTTGTTTAATGTGAACGTGAAACCAGAACATTTCAGATTGTCGAAATTCAACAACAATGAAGAAAGTTGTGTAAGTTACAATTTTTATTTAATTCACATATAGAAGAATTGTCTTAACCATGAATGTTTTCTGTGTAGCCACCATAAATTCAGCATTCTAATCAAATAACGATTCGTTGCTTGTGTAGTTGTACCTTTTCTTTACAGGTCTGTCAGATGTGGGAGATTCTTTATAAAATGTGTAAAGAAGTGTATCCTGGTCTACAGGAAGGTAAAATCCAATATCAAGTCTTATATGCCTATAACAAAGATATTTCAACTTGTAAAGTGTATATCACAGAAAATTAAACTCTACTTGAATAAAACTGATCTCTTTTATTATAAGTGAATTATTTATGTCATGCTATTACCCATAAAACTGAAATTCTACTACAGGTTGTGTGTTTACAGTACTCTGAACATGTTCCAGAGCCAGTTTGTATTTTTTTTCTTAATCTGACATGAAGATATTGATTTTTGATGACATCAGGTGGCATACATCAACTGCTCTAGAGACCATGAAAGTAGCTGTTCAGTGTTCTGTCATGATTTGGCCATGTGTTGGAAAGAATGACTAGTTTGTTTTGGATTGATAAGCAGTGTACATGTAAAAGAGGTTTTTACTATTTTAATTCCTGATTTGTGTTGTAACTGTCTTTCAGATGATCATGTGAATTTTGTGAAATTGAGTTTTGCCATGATGGAATACAACAGCATTGAATTTTATTGTCTTCCACAAGATATGTCATTTGGAAGCAGGGAGCTTCTGATATCAGTGGGGTGGCTAATGCTTACATCAAATGTTTTAGAAATCTCTACCAACAGGAAATTAAGAGAGTCACCAATGAATATGGAATTTGATGTTGAAGGTTATCAGGTATATATAGGAAATGTGTAGTAAGTGAAATGTCTTTTACTTTCATGTTTGTTTAAGTTTCCATTTTCTTATTGTGAATATGTTATCCAATTGCTGCAGTATGATAAATTCCATGGAATGTAAATTTCAAATGCATGAAACTATTTTATGATGTTAGATGTGATTTTAATATGTCTGTTTGACAGTAGACATATTGAGTATTAAAAACTAAATTTGCTTAGTGGGGGGTGGAGTCCAACTGGGTCCACCAGCACGGTGGCCACTGATTGGCCTATTGTAGCCTGCCCTGGGTGATTATGATGATGGAGAATTTTGTGGAATGAAGATTGGCAGGGGAAACCGAAATACTTGGAGAAAACCCACCCCAGTGCCACTTTGTCCCCCACAAATCCCACTTGACCATACCCGGGATCAAAACTGGGCCGCCACGTTGGGAAGCCAGCGACTAACCACTTGAGCTATGGTGCGGCCTTTGAGTGTGGAGTTAATGACAGAAATTATGATAGCCAGAATTAATTACTTTAATGAAATTAATCTACAAAAAGCTGCTACACTGTGAATGATTGTAAATTTCTTGTCTTACCGTATCTTGTAAGTGTTAATCTTGAGGCCAAGACTAAAGATTTCCTTTTTGTTTCTTTGTCATATAGCAATCACGAGATGTTCCTTCACAGCCTGTGTTCAAGGCAGGATCTTTAGAATGCACTTTAAATTCCATTCTTTGGATTGCTGGGAAAATAAGGCACAATGTGAACTCTATTACTGAAACTTGTCAGGCAAGAGTGAAATTTGCTACCAAGGTAATTATGTAGCTCTTGTATTTTACAATTAATTGCCTTTCATTCTTGAAACTGTATTTCATACTGAAGAGTTCTGCTTTCTGGGAAATAATGCTGCCCTCCATGTGCTTCATGCTGGTTTCTTCAACTGTGAAGCTGAAGGTGACATATTCTTCTGAAACATTGATTTTCAAGGGACTACACAATGTCATATCCCAGAAGATAGAACTCATCGTAAATGCTGCTGTGAATTAAATTTGAATTCAAGTCCTGTATATTTCATACTTACTGAGTATAAGTATGTCAAAGTAAAGTAAAGTAAAGGTGTCCCTGTAACAGGCTGTGGAGGTCCACAGGGTTGTGAGACGTTGAGGTTCTGGGTATCATCCTTCAGACTCTGATGTCTTCTCATAGTCTCTGTTTTGCAAGTTATCGGTGACTGCTAAGGTAATTAAATTGTGATTCATATTTAAATTCTGCATAAGTGTCTTTCACACATTATACAAATATAAAGTGATAGAATATAAAATTGAAAAATGATAGAAATGAAGAGATTATTTTTTTTGTTTGCAATACATGCATGTTCTGACTTCATAAACCAATTTTGAAAGGTTTCCACATGTTTTATAATTTAAGTTTTTGTGGTGTCAGATTTCTTATGAACCTGTGTTGTAAACAATGAAAGCCACAGCTTAGGAAGGAATGTGTTTGACAATAAAAAGAAAATTAAAACAGCAAATAAAAGAAAGTTCGTAAAGTGGTCGAAGTTTCGGTTAGAACAAAAATAGTTGCAACACTGAAGCAGCAGGAATGGAATATTTGACAAAGATTAAGTAGTGTACCAGGTTAGGTAATATTAAATATGACGATATAAAGAATTCACTGACTATCCAGTGGCTGAAGCGATTACAGAGAATTTAAAGAACTTACACTTTGGTACAAAGAGGTTATTGTCTGAATTCAAATCTTAGTAGGATTTTGGTATCTCATACCTCCTGTTTTGCCTAAATATATAATCACAAATTGTATCGTGGAATTAAACATCAAAGTGTTTTGTGTTTAGGAGGAACTAAATTTAAATCTCAACTTGAAATGACTATCCTGTCCAAGGTTTTCTTGCAGTCTTAGACAGCCCAAATAAATTGAAGGGTTAACATTTATTGTTTCAGAGCGTGGGACTTGGCAAAAGTTATGCATCAGTTGAAGTTATATCAGGATGGAATTTCATGTCAGTGCTCACTGAAGAATGACAAGATGGAGTCTGCATTCCTGAATTTTGAGACCATGTGTACATTTCTGATGTCCAGATAGTTAAAATAATATAGATAACATTAGTTAGTACATAATAGCTTACATGCTTTGTGATGTGTTGCTTTTAAACATTTCTCTTGTTTTGATATCTGAGGTCACATTGGTGACTGAAGAGTGCTGTCACCCGGGATGTGGCACTTATATTTGAACCTGGTTTTCCACTTGCAGCTCTCTTTGTTTGCCTTTTGCTTGCTTGATTACTCTTTGACCCTGAAGATGGAGGCAGTATTTTCCTCCAAAACGTCAATGAACATGTTCGAGACTACTCTGTGTCACATCCCAGAAGATACTATGCTTTGTTTATAATGGCTGTGGTTCAGTGAACTATAAACTGAGCAGTTGATGGCAGCACTGTATGATTCAGTTATCAGCTGGATTCTTGTTAATTACCATTGTAATAAGAGTTTTTCCTTCAGGTTCATGAGAGCACTATTAATTGTTGTGGTTTACCTCACCTGTCTGTCAGCGAAACAAAACTCGTTCGTTACCCTGAGTTACTGCCAGTATACCTTGACAGAATTAGTGAATATGTTGTGCTTATGGATACACACAAGCAGTGGCTTAAGAAGTGCCATGTCTTCTGGGAGTGGATGGTGAGGATTAGTTCCACCTTATACATAATTTTTAAAGAGCAGTTTTGTCATCACATACTCATTTTTCAGGATTTATTTTGAAGGGTGGCTGTATTTTAAATATATTGTAAACATATTCATCTCCAGGTGTATATATCCGCATGGGTCATTGCTACAAAACATGTCTGCTCCTCAACATAGTGGCTCCCAGCATGGGCTTATAATATTGTAGTTAATTAAAAATGTAGAAAATATTTTAGAAGTTGTTACATACTACATATCTGCTGTATTTATTACCTGTAGCTTTATTTATATGTGATTTGCATATCCATGTTTTGGTAAATTATTTGGATTGTAATTTCTTTGTGCCCCCTTTGAGAAATGTACATCACTTATGAGGAAGTAAAAGACAGCAGCTGTATTGTGGAACACAGGATAAGGAGAAGATTCATTAGAAACCTCAGAAGAAAGAAAGTTGGGAATCACCGCTTTATTGTATTTATTGTGTAATTTAGGCATTTGGGGTTTAGCTGCATCAAATGTTGAAAGGTGTTTCAATGTTTTGACGTACAAAGGGTATAACTGAAAGGTGCGAACAAACTTAGGACATGAGTTCCACGTACCAAAACCAGAAAAGATATCCACATCAGCATGCGTCCGGAAACATTTCATTTGTGAGTAATACCTGAAAGAGTACATTTGTAATAAATGCTCAGAATATTCTCCATGAAATTCAATGCACGCCTCGACACGTCTCATCATGGACTGGCAATTTGCATACTCCTTGAAATCATGATGCATCGCAATAATAGTGTGTGCCTTATACATTAAGAACAAGGGTTTTATACTATGGAAAGTCATGATGAGAACAGAATATTTGTTCATTTTGTGTATAATGAAGGTGGGGATTACTCCCAGGTGTATAGTTTTCTTGTTTCTTGCAGGAGACAGTTGTTGCGGAGAAAGAATCTGATCCTCATCAAAATCATCTCAGCGTTCATGAAAAGAGAACTCTGTTTCATGCGCTGGATACACTGCGGCACATAGCAAAAGCTTGTATGCTTTGGTGTCAGAGGGCAAGGAGCTGTAACAGCATGTCAGATAAGGATACTGATCGCAGTGTATCATCCCCATTACATGACCTGCCCCTCCAACCACTGCGAGGGCTACCAAGATGCATACTGCAAGCGAAGGGGGGCCATACTGAAATGGGACAGTTGCTAACAGAGTCAGAATTGCAGCTGCAAGATGTGAGAGACATGTACAGGATAAAGAAAGCAGCTGTTTTTGAACAACTTCATCAATTGGCAAGACAAACTGAAAACGTTGTGCTCTTTCCACGTTTGTTGAAGTGATCGGTTATGGCTTGTATTTTCAGTCAGCAGTTGCTAATAATCTTAGCTCTTCTGCTCTGTGCCTTGTGCTGATAACTGCTATGCAGATTGGAAGTCTGTAAGGCCTGAAGAAAATGGTGGTAACATCATCAGAGAACACAAGAAAATAAAAGGCATGAATGGTTAGTGAAAGCAGAATCTAAAATTGGTCCATCTGTGATGTGTGATGTTTTTTGTATTCATAATGTTAGATCATATTACAAATAAGTTGCTGTATTACAAAGAATTATTGCTTAACACTTTGTGTTTGATTTCTAATTGGTATCCTTATGGATTTGAACATCAGTAAAAATAGACTTGAAAGGATTCTGACGATGGTGTATACTGTACTTCTTTTGGCTTGTTTTGGACTTCATCCATCGTCTGGTATGTAAAAGACAAAAGACCAGTGATTGAGACTAGCTCTTTCTAACGGGCCCAACTGAGTAGGTTTATCCTTCCCTACCCACCTGAAGACGGAGACAGATCCAGTCTTCGAAACATCGTGGTCTTTTTGTCTTTTACATACCAGACGATGGATAAAGTCCAAAATAAGCCAAAAGAAGATCAGTAAAAATGTTTATATGTGAGTAAGATCTAAAAGTTTGTGATGATGATGTATTAATTCAATTATTGTGCTTCTGGATGTTATCCGTTGTCTTGATATAATCAGAAGAGTTTTCTACCATGTTTGTCCCTCCCGCTCTGGTCATGTGATTTCATTATGCCCACAGTTCATAACCAGGACACCTCTCCTTGCTTCTGTTCACCCTGTGACAAATACAAATTGCTCAGTTGTGAAATGTGGCTGGAATCTTTGAATCTCAGGTCTGAAGGTTTTGTCATCGATCTCTTTTGCCTCATACATTGCAATGTGATAAGGGACAAAGGATTTTTAAATATGACAGTGCAATAACTTAGTTCCGTGGTACCATTGACCAATATAACATGATGCATAGTTACATAGAATAATCTATACTTTGTAACCTGTAACCCATTCTTCCTGATCTACTATTACCTTACTTGTCTACTTACATTTCCGTGTCTGGCTTCGTTAGGTTTTAAGTGTATTTTTTAGTATGCAATAAGTTGCCGATTTGTTAGTAGGAAAGGGGCGGGGGAGTTACAGGAGGGTTATAGTGGGGGGGGTGTGGTTCTGTGTTCTATTTCTTACAATTTGGTGGGTAAACGAAATTGTGGTTTAAATTGTATGTTCCTTTTGCCGATTCTGTATATGTGAAATCTCATAAGTGTCGAGCATCTTCCCTTTTTTTTCTATATGTAGGATTTTCATTGTTTTTCCATTGTCTCATGTAGTGTGATGTTTATTTGTACCTGCGTGCACTAAGATAGAAGAGTTGAACACTCCTACCATAAAGTCTGGCCAATTTGGCTCTAAATTTGCTTCATGGTTGGCTTGTCTAGAAAACAATATACGTTAACTCCCCATTATCTGGAATGTATGGGGAATGGGGGTGGGTCTGTTTACAAGAATCTCCCAGTTGCGCGAGAAAAGCTCTTAACAGAAACCCAGTATAGAGTCAACACATTAACCATGTTTTCACTTCAGTCCATGTGTGGGAGTCTTCCTAACCGACATAGTGGATTGATAGATCTGTTACATGACCACAGATTTAACTAGCCTCTACTGTAGGGTACGTCCATTATGGAGGCTGACGAGAAGCGCTACTGGTGGTGAACGGGAGAACTACCTAGTGGGTGAACGTCATACTGTAATGAGATGGAGGGGACAATCTCCTGTTGCCGCTTCCGCACCCCCCTTCTGTATAGGTCTAGGGGCCCCAGCACGTAGTCGGTTCTGCTGGTGATATACGAATATTTCTTCTTAAAGAGCAGGCTATTCGCTCTTAATTCTATGTGATGTGGTTTATGTCTATTACCAGATGTATCACATTTTTTAAATCCTCTGATGTACTGAATTATTCTTAAAAATTCGTGAAGTGTGGTTTAATTCAATAATAATAAATTATAAAAATAAGTAACAAGATTTTGATTAGTTGTACTTCAGGTATTTCAGCGAAATGTTAGTAAAAATTTACACAGTACAACCATATAACAAAGAAATCGATCAAAGAACAATGTGAACGACCACGCAGGGTACCTTCTTAGACCTACGCCTACTTACACGGTTATCGGTGGAATAAGAGACGAAATAATGCCACGTGGAATTTTGACCACGAAGTCTTAACAGTGAATGACTTGGGCGTAAACCTGAGACCTCTCAGTGGAGGACTACTAGTTGTAAGATCAAATTAGCTACTTGGATGATTTCGACTGACATTTGGGAAATACAGTTTTTAGGGCGACAACATAGCGCTCTTAAAAGTCTGTTGTGTTAAAATTTTTAGCCCTTCCAACCATTTTAAGGAATTATAACATTTGTAAAGTTTTTGTAAACTCCGGTTGAATCTGCAGATAGGAATTGTTGACTCTAGAAGAATGCCATTCTAGTACACTCGATTATGCGTGAAAACCATTAAACAGCGAATTTCACGGTTCACTAACTTCGAGTGTCACAACAAATTTAAGTTTCCTTCAACGGGAGACAATTTCACAGGATTAAGGACCGTAGTGGAAAATAATGCAAATTGTTCGGAACGTGGCAGCGGTACTGCGGTAACACGTTGCAGTGTAGCGTGAGAGGCATGTGACACAAGCACAGCCTGCAGTTGACGTCTCATTGTGTTCAAAATCGGAATGAAAGTAATGTAAATGTTACAGTCATTTAAAATGAAAGAAAAAAAAGTTATAATAGAGCACAACCTTTTATTTTATCACATGTACAACTGCAGTCTTATTGTTCATTTGAAAAGTAACTAAGAAATTCCCGGCAGGCTGAGGGAATTAGAATAATTCGTAACTGCATTACATTAACGTAGGCTGGTCGGCCGGAGTTTGAATCCCGACAAGGGTAAGATTTTTGTCTTCACATCACATAGACCGGCTCTGGGGCTCACCCAGTCTCCTATCCAATCGGCACCTGGGGCAATTTACCCGGGGCTTGAAACTGACCACTCGCCACCATCTAGTGTCGAGGTCAATAATGATGGAGCTATACCTCCACTCCTCCATATTCCTTCATGGTATAATGTTTAATTAATGAAGCACAGGGACAGATTTACCTTTCTACTTTATTACATTAAGGTAGTGTATTAGAAGTTAGAACAAAGTTTGGGAATGTTTAAACAAGCAAGTATATTCCACTAGATCTATGTTTGTCTTTGTTAAATAATTTTCCATCTACATAGACTGTATAGGATAATACTATGATTGTGAAGAATATTGAAATGCGAAGTCGTGGCCTGTTTTAAGGTACTGTTCCACTATTTGCCTGGAGGGAGGGGAACAAAGTACCAAAATATGTCAGGAATTGTTGAAGTTTATACAACGAAAATTCACGTTGTGTTCTCCTGGTTAAGGCAGCGTACAGATGGATAGGTAAGTACCAGAGTTTTAGAGGAACGTCTCGCCTCCATTTTTAGGGCAGAAGAGCGATAGTTACTTATACCATGAAGCTCAAGCGGTTAGTCGCTGGCTTCCCACCGCGGCGGCCCGGGTTCGATCCCGGGTCTGTTCAAGTGGGATTTGTAGTGGACAAAGTGGCACTGGGGCAGGTTTTCTCCGAGTACTTCGGTTTCCCCTGCTAATCTTCATTCCATCAATTGCTCCACAATCACCCTCACGGGCTGGTACAATAGGCCAGAAGTGGTCGCAGCACCAAGTGGACTCAGTCCCACCCCACCAAGTAATACAAAAAAAATTACCATGAAAATGGTCACAGCTGGTTCCTCCGAAACGGCGATCATCTACATAGCTGCGCGGTGTCATAGCCCTGAACACCACATTCTAAATCAATCAGGAAAGTCAATGCTCAGCACAGATCTGAACCCATGATCCCCCGAATACGGAACGAGTTAGAACCGGCTTCCTACCGCGGCGGCTTGTGTTCGATACCAGGTCAGGTCATGTGGGATTTGTGGTGGATAAAATGGCGCTGGGGCAGGTTTTCTCCGAGTATTGCGGTTTCCCCTGCCAATCTTCATTCCACCAACTGCTCCACAATCACCCTCACCTATCATCTGGGGCTGGTACAATAGGCCAGAAGTGGCCGCAGTTCCAAGTGGATTCAGTCTCACCCCATTCCAATAAATTAAAAAAAAAGATACATTCTTTTTCCTATAGATAAAGATAGTCGGCTGAAAGGGTAATCTCTCTGTTTTACCATCTACACAGATACTTGCAGGAGGAGGGGCTTGAAAACATAATGCAAGGTAAATTTAAATCTGTCCCTGTGCTCAACAAATGAAACACTACAACAGGAAGGCGCTTGGGGGGAGTGGATGTATAGATACAGTTTCACGCCCCGGCCGCTTTATCCCCGGGGAAAGAGCCCCCGGTACCCATTGGATAGGTGGTTAGATGGACTCCAGAGCCGGTCTGGACCATCTGGGGAAGAGAAAATTCTTGCCACCACCAGGACTCGAACTGTGACCCCTCGGTCGTCCAGCCCGTAGCCAGTCGCTATACAGACTCCTGCAAACATAATGTCCCTCCACCAAATAACCCTAGAGTCACTTCTACTCTTGTGTGATAAATTACAGCGCTTAAAAATATCGATAAATCACCCTACATTTTAAAGGACAGGATTTGTTTGCTTAAATTTTTCAATTAAAATAATACAGTCGATGCTAAGCCACGTCATCAATATGGCCGAAAGAAAAGCGTACGGCCTTGTAAGCCCATCTTAAGTCGTACTGAAACAAGAAATTTGAAAATCATATATGAGATTTACTACATCATATGACAGAGGACCGCCACTGTGGTCTAGTGGTCGGAGTTCCTGGCTACAAATCCCGGTTCGATTACCGGCGCTACCAGATTTTCTGAGAAGTAGTGGGTCTGGAACGGGGTCCACTCAGCCTCGTGAGGATAATTGAGGAACTGTTTCAAGGAAATAGCGGCTCCGGTCTATAAAATCGAGTTTAACGGCCGTGGGGATTCGTTGCGCTGACCATGCGACACCCTCTATCCGCTAAAGTTGGCACCAACTTCGCCGACAAGCGGCGGTCGCTCGGTCGGTATAGTTTGCTTGCGGACTAAAACCACGGAGTTTGTTTATGACACAGCAAAATTATTTCATGGGAATTATACCATTTATACATTCCCCTGCTTCCCAGCAGGTTAGTGTAGCGGTAGCGCTTTACGCTTCTATCCGGGAGGCACTGGATTCGAATGGA